ACTGGGAGGCTGTGGGGGCCACGGCTCCCACGAGCCCAGGCTGACCTTTGCAGCTGCTCACCCAACCTGTCAGACCACACTGCACACCCTGCTGCAGCTCCCAGAGCTCTTCGCATGAAGAGGAGACCTGGTCAGGCTGGTCCGTCCAGCCCCAGCTCTCACCGTCCAGCCCCAGCTCTCACCGCAGCCTTTCAGTTCCCCAGCCCCCAGGTGCCATCCTGCTGCAGAACAGAAACCCTGCAGCCTTCAGTTCTTCCTCTGTTCATCCTGTGTAGCTTCAGATCAGATCACCCTGTCACTTACTCAAGCACTTCCCCAATACCCTGCTCTGCCCACTCCAAGAGCCCCTACTTTCCCTCCAAAGCACAGGAGTAGGGTGTGATTTATGGATCTATTCAGGGCTAGGGATGGAGCCCAGAGCCTCCTCCATGCTAGGAGAGTGGGGTCCCACCGACTCCACCCCAGCGCCTTGTGTCCTGGCCGTGTTTCCTGCCAGGCTGGGAGTTCCAGCAGGACATGCACCGTGTGTCACCTTCTGCACGCCTGCCACATACATGATTTTTCAGGGTTGGACTGGATCTGCCAGGAACCCCCAAATCTACCTTGCTCTAGCCTCCAGTCACTCACCCCAAGGTGCCTACCTCAGGGTCCTAGCATGCCTTACCACTACCCTTTCTTAGCATTCCAGGGACCCAGATGAGGGTTCAGGGGCACCGGGGACCCGCCCTCAGCACACCTGTTTCATTGTGTTGCTTTCTCCCTTGTCATCTCCCCATCCCACTGAAAAGCTACCTCTGAGCCTTCCCAGGATCGCCGATCAGAAATGCCCGCATCCCGTGGGCAGCCAGGGCCATGGCTCTTTTCAGAACAGCTTTGGAACTGGGGGTGATCCTGGCAGGGACCACAAAGGTGCCACAACCAAGAAGTGGTCTGCGGGCTGGGAAGGTGGCTCAGTGGTAGAGCGCTTGCTTTGCATGCTCGAGGCCCTGGGTTCGATTCCTCAGCACCACATAAGCAAAAAGAAAAAAGCTGGAAGTGGCGCTGTGTCTCAAGTGGTAGAGCACTAGCCTTGAGCTGAAGAGCTGAGGGACAGCGCCCAGGCCCAGAGTTCAGGCCCCACGACCGGACCCCCCCCCAAAAAAAAAAAGAAGTGGTCTGCATTCTGTGGGACTCTGACATTCATGTAGGCAGAAGACTGACTTGTGGCCACAGAACCAGAACCTAGCTCAGTTATGAACACGGCTCTACTAGTTCCTGAAATTGCCAGGAACACAATTACCAGGCACACTGAGGAGCGGCTTAACTCCTTCTTCTCTATTCTGAAAAACCCACGTCACAGGCAGTAATGGCACCCTGGTGTCTGAGCTGCTGAGCTGCCGACACCGGGGCTCACCAGAGCTCGGTGCACTGATGGCGGCCACACGCCCAGATGTTCTGCGCTGGCTGCCACACTCTGCCTCCAGCTTCCTTGTACGCACGAACTTACAGACGAAACACATTTGATTTTATTGTCAATTACTTTCCTTCCAAATTATAGTCAGGGCACCATTGACTTTTAAAAATTCTGTGTAGGCAGTTTTCACTAATCACAAGTTTCATTTCAAGATAATAAAAGTTGTTAGGAAATGGCTGTGGTAGAAGGCGAGTTGGAACCGTGGATTGGGGATGGGGGCGAAGCAGCTCCCCTCCCCTCCCCACGTGCATCCCACTGTTCCCCAGAGGCTCACCCCACTGCTGCCCTGACCTCTTTACCTTCATGTCTGGGTAAAGGGGGTCTCCAGCCCCCCACCCACAGCCAATCCTGCCATCCACCTTGGACACAGCCCATGGCCTTGTTCTCATTCCTGATACCCTTTCCTTGAGCCCCAACAAGTGCCAGCACCACCATCTTCAAAAACTCTCCAGAAATGAGCCACATTTCCTAACCTCTACCGCAGCTGAGCCTGCCTGGCTGCCCCGCCCCGCCCCCCACTCCTCCCACCCACTGCAGTAGCCCCTCGCAGAGCTCCTGCTTCGCCTGCCATTCCCAGCCTGAACGAGGGAGTGAGGTGCATGGGCCTCAAACATACATACAATAGCCTTTAAGGCCCACACTCTCTTCTGCCACTAGTGTTTCTCTCTTGGCACTACTGGTGTTTGAGGCTGGGTAAATTTTTGAGGGTTAAGGCCTGTCCTGTGTATTAAGAGTTCATATCTGGCCCCCACCCACTGGAGACTAGAAACATTCCTACCCCATGTTGTAACACCTAAAATGCACAAATGTTAGCTGGGAGCAGGGGTGAAGCCCAGCGGGAGAAGCTGGCACTGGATGGGGGAGGGTATTGCTTACTCCACACAGGTGGTCATGGGGCAGGTGGGACTAGGAAGGCTGTCTCCGGGCATCCACCCCTTCCAGGGGCTTCCAAGCCCCCTTCTGTGAACTAGCTTCTTACACTTCCTGCTTTCGCCAAGTTTCTGTTCCAACACTGTCATGTCTCACCTCGGTTCAAAACCGGCCTCACCTTCAAATAGCCAAATCCTATGACACCCCAGCTCACGACCTCAGTAAGCAACTTGCAGTTCCTCATTTGCATCCAGGTCACACAGGAAGCCAGGGAGAAAGACCTGCTTTTCTCTAACAAGCAGCTAAGCTGAGAGCAGCTCCCACACCCCCCAACTTTGAAGTTAGAGGCCCAAGTGCAAATCCTGCAGCCTCACCTGCTACTGCAGGACACAGAAAAACGACCTTTGGTCTGGATTTGTCCAACTGTTACTAGCAGGTCAAAGCTTGGGCCTCTGAGGAGGGGAGTGTGCCCCAGGCACTGCCCTCAGTACCAGCTCCCAGATGGACTTATTCTCCTCTCTTCCCCTGCCAGCCAGTTTTCCTGAGCACTCAGGATATCCGACTGCTCTATTTGAGACAGCCCAATCTTAAGATGTCCTAAGAAATCTTAGTCCTGGAGCCTCCAACTTACTGTAAAGTCATGTAGAGAGTTCCTCCCAGTTTATGTTAAGTCACATGCAAAATCCCCCAATTCCTCAAATGCTGCCCGGTCAGCTCCAGCCACTTTTCTTGGGGTGCTGTGCTGGGCGCTGAGGCTCTACTACGGGAGCTGGCCCCAGCCCTTCCAGTGACCGCTCCCGCCTCTCCTCCCGCCATTACCTTCCAGACCGCGGCCTGCAGCGGGGGTCGCGGCCGCCTCCCTGCTCCTCTTTTTGCCCCTACAGCCTGGAGTCCTCCCAGCACCCAGGGAAGGCGGCTGGGCCACCGAAGGCCACGTGACCCTCCGAGGGCGGCGGCCAGCCGAGGCCTCGCGACCTTTGCTGCCCCCCCCCCCCCGGCCCCGTCGGGAGCCCGGCCGCCTCCCTGCGCGCCGGGCCGCGGCCGGGCGGAGGCCGACCGAGCGCCTCCAGGCCCCGGCACTCCCGCCAGCTGACGTTTCCGTGTTTGCCCACGTGCTCCCAGCGCCCCACCCCGCGGCGGGGCCGCGGCCTCGCCCGGCGGGCGGCGCCCGGCCCCCATCTGGGCGCGCCCCGGCGGATGCTCAGCGCGCGCCGGGCGAGCGGGAGGCCCCTCCCGCCCCGGGGGAAACCGCGGCCTCGAGTGCGCCCGCCACGGCCTCGCACCGAGCCCGGGCGGGGTCCCCGGGCCGCCCGCCGCGCGCCCACTCACCGCCCCGGCGCTCTGGGCAGGGATCCTCCTGCCGGAAGTGCGAGCCAGGGCCCGCCTCCCCCCGCCGCGGGGGGACTTCCGCCGGAAGCGGCTGCCGAGGGCGGGGCGGGGCCGGGCCCGGACGCCCGCGCGCGGGGGACCCGCTGCGATGGCGCCCGCGTCCCCGCCGGCTACCTCCGCGCCCGGCGCGGCGGGCGACCACGGGCCGAGCCTGGAAGACAAGCCCGCGGCTTCCTTTCTCTGCCAGCATCCCTGCACAAGTGATTCGGGAGAGCCGCTAAGCACGATCTCACTTCCACGCGTGGTCTGTGCTGCGGGGAGAGCGCCATCCAAGAGGAAGTGGAATGGTCCGGGGCCGAGAAGGCGCCAGCCAGGCGTGCTCCGGGCCAGAGTGGTTACGGGGTCCAAAACCCCTGGCGGGGGGAAGGGGGTTAAGTAGACAAGAGACAGATTGTCGTGGCTCCAAAATGCCAGCCCAGAGATCCAGACCTAATTCATCTTGCAGGATGAATTAAAAGATGTGCCGGCAGACAGAGAGCCGTCAAGTCTGAGAGGCCAAGGCTGCACACGGAAACCCAGCTTTGTGCTTTTCCTCCTCCTCCAGCCTCCTCCTGGGCTGGCTGCAAATAGGGGTCCTTGCAAGTGACTCAGCTGGGTTCCTGGCCCCTGAGAACAGGAGGCTCCAGGCCAGGGTAAGCAATGCTTTAGCAAACTGCTGCCCTTGGCAATGCCAGGAGCACCATGCAGGCATTCAGTGCAGTTCATTCAGTGCTTACCGAGTGCCTACAATGGTACCCATCACAGCCAAGGTTTTGGCTTCCCTAGGTCTGAATTGGATGTACTTTCTATGCCTTCTGAAAGAACTGCCCTCACCCCGTTCTCTCAGAGGCAAGAGAAAGAGTCTATTTTCATCACTGTTCTTGTTCAGATCTCCCAGCTACCAAGGCTGCAGATTGGAGCAACAGACTAAATCACCAGCTGGGGAGGCTGGGCACCAAGCACAGGCCACACGCAGGGTGCAGAATGTGTCTTCTTTTAAGGCACAAGTACTCGTGCTGTTCCCTGGCTGTGTCCTTGGCAGAGAAAAGAGGGAGGACATGTTGGTGGGGGTGTAGAATGAGCATGCTTCCCAGCAGTGCCAAGCAGGAAACGCTTTGTCCCGGTGCAACAATCTGAGCATTGTAGCCAGCAGGTGTGTGTCTGTGTGATGGGGACAGGGTGGGTGTGGAAGGGGAGGACAGGGGCTAAGGGCTCCAACTGGAGCTCTGAGATCTCCAGGCACACTAAAATGAAAGCTGCTAGGTGACCCCTGCCCTTGGGTCAGTACAGAGATAGTGTTAGTAGGAACTGGTTGGTACAGCAAAGAGTATTTATTGAAAACATTGTTACTGACAGGAAGCTCCTGCCAGGTCTCTGGTTACATTCTCACCTTACAATTGGAAGTAATACTTTTTTATAACCCTCAATTTTATTTTCCCCCAAACATTCCATCCTAGGATAGGTAGATCTTCTATAAATATATATACATGTCTGCATAAGTATGGCCTAGAGTAAAGAAAATATAAAGTACACTCTTCATTGGTGGTACTACCATGCCAGGCTGCCAGAATGGAATGCCACCATGCTAATACATGTGCTCTTAGTCAGCTTTCTGAAATCATGGCCAACGGCAGATACCACGGTGCCAGGGAGGACAGGAAGGGAAGGCAGACTTCCTGGAGTCTAGAAGGCCAAAGGAAAGCAAACTGGAGGGGATGGAAATTCCTGGGGGAAGAATGTGCCCTTCGGAGAAAAAAAGATAAACCTAGGGACAAAGGTTGTACAATCTTGAGACCTCACCAGTCTAGGCCCCGGCTTCAGCCAGGCTTTCCCTGATGCATTCCTGGAGACCGAGGGCAGGACTTGGCCCAGAGGTCTCTGCCTGGCCAGGATGAGGAACTGAGCTTGTAGGAGAAATTTCCATCTGCCCTGATACCTGCAAGGGCAAGAGAGATCAGATAGCTCTAGAAACCAGAGATGTTAGAGCCAAAGCTCAGAAGCAGCAGCATCTTGGCACCAGAGGAGGCTGGAGTGAGCCCTCATGAAGACAAAAGCCAAGGCCCAAGGCCTGTCCTCAGATCTCAGTCTCAGGCGCGGGCCACTCAAAGCTAGTCACTCAAGGCTCTCACCACAGCCAGCCCACCTGTGCTCCGCAGGCAGCCTTTCCTGGGCCAGCTCTGGCTCCTGTGGGGCCCAGCCAACCAGAGAGCAAGCACAGGAAGAAAAGAGTGGCTGCTGTGAAGGCCAGTTGGGACTGAAGGCAGAGGCCTGCTCCTCACGGTCCCACCCCAGGCTCTGCAGTGCTGAGGGCAGTGTGTCCTGCCTTCGTGACTCCCTGGACCAGGAGCAGCTCTGTGCGGCCCAAGGTGGGTCTGAGGAGAGGCTGGCATTCACTGGCCACCGTGATCACTACAGATTTTGTACAGGTGAAAGACAAGGCACCAGACTGCGAGTGTGTCTCCTGGGCCCCAGTTCCTTCCTGGTCCTGCGGTCTCTGGTTCCTGGCTCAGCTGTAGTGGTAGACAAAGTCATAGCTGCTGGGCTCCTTGGGGACGGGTGGTGGTGCCTCGGGGATCTGGATGTTCTCCAGGTCCAGCAGCCGCAGCTTCATCTCCATGCTCAGCAGCATGTCCAGGTCACTCTTGGTCAGCTCGCTGGACATGTCCTTTCCCAGTAGGGCGCTGAGGCCATCAATCCAGATGCAGTACTGCAGGCAAGGTGTGAAATGTCACATGGGGCCACAGGTCACCTCGGGACATGCATAGTCCAGGCATTATGATCTGGGGTATTCACAAAGATGGGGGGGGGGGGGGAATCTGCTTCCTCAAGAGACTGTTTTTATGGAGGCTGATGTTAAAAGTCCTTAACATATGAGTTTGTTTTTTTTTTTTTTGCCAGTCCTAGGGCTTGAACTCAGGGCCTGGGCACTGTCCTTGAGCTTCTTTTACTCAAGGCTAACACTCTCCACTTTTGGCCTTTTTTGTTTATGTGGTACTGAGGAATTGAACCCAGGGCTTCATGCATGCTAGGCAAGCACTCTACCACTAAGGCACATTCCTAACCCAATGAGATGTAATCTAAAAACAGCAATGAATTAATACAGCCAAATAGACACAGGCTATCAAAGGTCACCTACCCAAAGCCACCCCTGAAATGAGAAACTGAGGGTACAGGTGAAGAACAAGAGTCAGTCACAGCAAGGGCACCTAAAGACCTCAAGTTTGTTTCAAAATGTAAATTAAAAAACTCGCTGGGGTCTCGTAATGCGAGGGGAGAACAGATATACTCCTCACCCTCCCTCCTCAGTGGTCTGTGGTGCCTGCTCACGTGCTCACCGCCCTGCCCCTACCGGTCCTTCAGGGCCGCCTGGAAAACTCCACTGGGCTGGCCATGGTGGGTGCACCGGTAATAAATGGGGAAGATGAGCGGCCAGATCATGAGTTCAAGACTAGCCTGGACTACCCTTCAGAAGCCAGATGCCAGTGGCTCACACCTGTAAATCCTCACTACTCAGGAGGTTGAGATCTGAGGATTTCGGTTTGAAGCCAGCCCAGGCAGGAAAGTCTGTGAGAATCTTATGTCCAACTAACCACCAAAAAGTTCAAAGGGAAGCTGTGGCTCAAATGGTGGAGCAACAGTCTTGAGGGAAAAAGTTAAGAGAGTACACCTAGGTCCTGAGTTCAAACCCTCCTACCTAGGCATATGCACACCCACGTGTACACACACACACGTCCTCCACTGGACGCTCCAGTCCCAGACACACAGGGTCTCCCCTGAAGTTAATGCCCAGTACCTTCCAGGGCTGCAGGTAGAACTCTGTGCCCTCGTCTGCACCAGATCCCTATGGCTTCAAGGTCACTGGCAGCCCTGAGGGCCTACCTGTTGGGTCCACTTGGCAGGAAGCCAAGAGAAACTGAAAAGACAATTCTCCTAGTGTTCAGGAAGTAACTAGACCTGTCCTTCTAATAGTGAGCACTACACTAATGTGGAGAGGGCAAGCAGGAGATAGAAGGCCAGTGTCCAAGAGCCTTTACCACCTGCTCTGCCACTGCTTTGGGGCGCTCCTGCCTACTCCGGCCCCGCCTGCTCTTGTCCCACATGCTCCTGTCCTGCCCGCTCCTCCCCTGCCTCCAGGAGCCACAGCCATGGTGGTGCCACTGTTCACAGAACACATGTGGCACACAGCTCACCTCGTACTTATTAGGTGCAATGAAGTTCAAGGTCTCATCAGGATCATACAGGATGGAGAAAGCCAGTTCTAACACCTCCTAAAAGAGAAAGGATTCGGTTATTAGAAGCAGTGATTCGGTTGTGATGTCACCAGGCCTCCGAGGCACACATGTAGGGGGAGGGGTGGGCCTGGGGGGAGGGGGTGATAATCAACCTTTACTCTCCACCCAAATCACACAGATGCGGTAAGACTTTAGGATTGGAAGCTAGGCATGGTGGCACACACCTGTAATCCCAGCACTCAAGGGGCAGGGTTCTAGGCCTGGAACTGAGACAGGCTACACAGATTATCTCAAGAAAAACAAAACAAAACACCCAAACAAGCAGGAGCTAGGTTGGAGAAAAGACATTTCCAACACTCAGACCCCTTGAATGCGAATCCTTGAGTATAGGTTCCCCTAAAAGATATATTTCTTATTACTCAAAGGGACTGGCTTTCTTCCTCGAGTATGCTGTAATTCCTACAGGGAAGTCCTTTTTTTTTTTTGGGTCCGGTTGTGGGGCCTGAACTCTGGGCCTGGGCGCTGTCCCTCAGCTCTTCAGCTCAAGGCTAGCGCTCTACCACTTGAGCCACAGCACCACTTCCAGCTTTTTCTTTTTGCTTATGTGGTGCTGAGGAATCGAACCCAGGGCCTCAGGCATGCAAGGCAAGCACTCTACCACTGAGCCACCTTCCCAGCCCCCACAGGGAAGTCTTAAGAGTTTGGACATTAGCAAAATAGCCACAATGGATGGAATCCAATTCCATAATCTTGTAGTAATACTAAAAACCAACCCCAGGCACCAATCTGGTCCTTGCTAGGGGAGCCCAGAAAGCTCTCTGTCCCTGTCTTACAGCTATGAGTGTAAAAGAAGAACTGGGCATTTACCCGCCTTCCTTAGGCCAACTCTGCCACTGGGGAATAAAAAAGACACAGGAGTGTGTCAGTCCTGGGCCTTGAACTCAGGGCCTGGATGTTGTACCTTAGCTTTTTCAAGACTGTCACTCTAGCGCTTGAGCCACAGCTCCACTTCCAGAATTTTGGCAGTTAATTAGAGATAAGTCTCTCAGGCTTTCCTGCCCAGGCTGGCTTCGAACCTTGAACCTCAGATCTAGCCTCTAGCAAGGATCACAGGCATGAGCCACCGGTGCCCAGCAGAAGTAGGCTTATCTGCAGAGGCAGTTTAGCTTGCAGACAGGAAGAACAGTTGTGTGAGAGTATCATAGCATCACCTGCTTGCAGACCTGAACTTGCTAACGGGAGGCCCTGAACAGCAGCAGTCTGTTGACGTGACAGAGAGACACCAGACACTATGGGTCCCTTGGGAGAATTCTATACTATCTACAACGTGGCCTTGCAAGAAAAAATGTCAAACCTGAACCAAACCAAACCTCCAGATCCCTCTTCCAATTTAAAGATCTAGGGCAGAGAAATGAGTCCGACTATACCGCAGGGAGAAAATCAGCAAAACCACACTGTGGGAAACTACTGAACAAGCAACCTGGTTTCTTCAACTAATAAACTACAAATAAAAAAAAGAAAAAGATGGAAAAGACAGAGGGAGAACTTATAAAGGAAGAAACTTGCACCAGGTGCTGGTGGCTCATGCCTTTAAATCTAGCTACTCAGGAGGCAATATCTGAGGAGTCGGTTCAAAGCCAGCCGGGGCAGAAAAATCTATGTGAGACTGTCATCTCTGATTAACCACTCAAAAACTACAAGTAGAGCTGTGGTTCAAATTGCAGAGTTCTAGCCTTGAGCTGAAAGAGCTCAGGGACTACACCTAGGCCAAGTTCAAACCCCACAACTGACAAAAAAAAAAAAAAAGGAAGAAACCAAAGAAGTCTCAGACTTGGGCTGGGAAGTTGGCTCAGTGGTAGAGCGCTTGCCTTGCATGCCTGAGGCCCTGGGTTCGATTCCTCAGCACCACATAAGCAAAAAGAAAAAAGCCAGTAGTGGTGCTGTGGCTCAAGTGGTAGAGCTGAAGAGCTGAGGGACAGCGCCCAGGCCCAGAGTTCAGGCCCCACGACTGGACCCAAAAAAAAAAAAAAAAAAAAAGAAATCTCAGACTTATAACTTGTAGACCTTATTTTTAATTTAAACAAAATGAATGCATGTGTGTGCACACTTGTGCAGTCATACACACATAAACCTTTACATATTTTTTCCCAGTGCTGGTACTAGAGCTTGAACTCAGGGTCTCTTGCTCTTGCTTGGCTTTTCCTCGGAAGGCTGGCACTCTTCCACTTGAGCCATACCTCCACTTCTGTGTTTTTGCTAGTTAACTGGAGATAAGAATCTCACAGACTGTCCTGCCTGGGCTGGCTTGGAACCAGGATCCTCAGATTTCCCCCTGAGTAGCTAAAATTACAGGCGTGAGCCACTCTTTAATGAGAGAAATGATCACATTCAAGAACAACCAGTGGTCATCAAAACAGAGTAAAACATTCAATAGTAAGTAATACAATATGATAATGTGGCTATGTTAAAACAGCCCTTTTTTTAGAAACATACTAAATTATTCACAGATGAAATACGACACTTTGGATATCCTCCAAAGTTAAAGGGACAGGAAGTGGATGGCAGAATGTGCCCTGGTTGCTGAGGTAGGGTGAGGTGTGTTTATATTTATATGTGTTCAAAACAATGTTGTTTTTTTTTTAGTTTTATTGTCAAGGTGATGTCCACAGGGGTTACAGTTACATAGGTAGGGAACTGATTATAGCTCTTGTCTAACTTGTCATCCCCTCCCCGCTTTTTCTCCCTCCCTCCCCCACAATTTTTTTTTTTTTGGAGACAGTCTCACTATGTAGCCTGGGCTGGGCTGGAAGTCATCCTCCTCCTACTTCAACCTCCTGAGTGCAGGGATTACAGGCATATACTACTGTTCCCAGTCTCAAAATTCATCTTAACACAATGGCTGGGAAACCTTTAAAGAGAACAAGCAGGTACCTAACACAGCACCATGGACGGCACTGTACAGGCTCTGTCAGCTGCTGGGGCGCAGGACACCCGTTCCTCTTACCTTGTTCTGTTTCAGAGCGCTTTTTTCTTTCATGTGGGGACAGTCCTTCCCAGTGACAATGGCTTTAATGTCTGCAACAGGAACTGATAAATGATGGAAATTAGTGTCTGGAAGCTTATGCTGCAAGCTGGCCGGTGTCCACCTAGGTGCTGGGAAGGAAGCCCTGGGCAGAGTGCCCAGAAGCGGCAGTGCCCAGGCTCTCCTGCCAGCTCAGGCCATTGTCAACAGCATGCCCAGGAACTGTTTTCTCCTTCTATACACCATGGTGAGGTGTGTTCAAGTTTGGGGGGGGGGGGGGGGGTTACCTGGCTTCACCTTCCCAAGATGGGGGGTTCTGGACACTCCCCCAATGCCTTTCCCAGCAATGCCAGCAGAGCCCCCAGCGCGGCATCTGCTAACAGGCTTAATGCCTGCCACACAGTATTCGAGGCATCCCACAACCATCCCCGGGGCCGTCCTCTCCTAAGAGGAGGGAAGTGTGCCGGCCCATCTTCCAGCAGAAGAAAGCAAGGCAGAAATGGGAATTAATTTACAGTAAGTAACTAATGAAAGACTTCTAATTAGGTGCTAAGTCAGGATTTGAATCAGGGCCTGGCTTGGACACTTCTGTTCCTATCCTTTCCTGGGAGTCTTGTCTGGCCCTTCGCGGCCTGTGAATGCACTGGTTCTCCCTCCATACCATCTGACGAGCCAGGGTCAGCGGTGAAGCACTGGTGACCAGACACTGAACGTGAAGCAGCCTGGACCAGAACTGGCTCTCTACCATGACCCCTCCAGAGAAATGCACCTACTTTTCTCCTGCAGGGATTCGAATGTCACCTCCCCTTGCGGGTTGTCGTCCAGGTCACCATAGTGGAGGACCTTGTGGTTCAGGGCCAAGCGGCAGTACCAGAACCGTTCTGGAACAGAAGGCGCACAAGCAGGTGAGCTCGGGCAGCACCAGACTAAGGGCGAAAGGACGGCATGCCAGGCTGCTCGACAGGGGCCCCTGGGGCTCATTTCCCGCACCTTGCCTCCGACGGTTGCCGATCTTCCGGAAGCTGCTGCCCTCACACAGCCGGTTCAGGCGCTGCTGCTTGATGAGCTCCAGGATCTCTGGCTGGATCTTCTCCCGCAGTTCCCTGATGCACACACGGCCATAAGAGAGGGTCCAGGATGGCAGGCCGAAGGAAGAGCTAGCAGCCAGCCCCACCACGGCCCCTCTGGGACAGCACTCCTCCCCTCCCTCGCCCTGCCCCTCTGGGCTGGTACTTACACAATGGGCGGGGACTGGAAGTCATCCTGGCTCATCCTTTCTGACTGGCGCAGCCGCAGGATCTCTGAGTAGCTCAGGCTACGAAGTTTGCTCTTGAACTGATCCAGAGAGTTGGGTTTGGAGGGCAAAGCTCGAGTGATCTGCTCGCGGACGACCTGCATCACCTGGCAGCAAGAGGTAGTTCACGCCACTGCTCAGATGGGTGGACAGGCTGCCCTGTGCACAGGCAAGTCTCCATGACCGACTTTCCCAAAAGCCCCGAGCTGAGCAGGCACTACCAAGAGTCCTGATTTTCTCAGGGACACTCAGGGCAAGTGACAGATGGTGGCAGAGGCTTCAACTAATCCCTGGTATCTAGAATCAGCACAGCATTTTCAAGGCAGAGAGAAATGAATTCTGATCTTGGCTCTTAATTTGTTCCTTAAGCAAGTCACTGAACACTCCAGGCCTCTATGCCCTTGTCTCTATAACGTGGGAGAAAGGAAGACCTGTCTTCTGGTGGGTACGGTTCAAGTGTTACATCTCAAAGCATAGTGTTTAAAAAAAAAAAAAGCCAGGCACAAGTGGCTCATGTCTGTCATCCTAGCTACTCAGGAGGCTGAGATCTGAGGATCACAGTTCAAAGCCAGCCCAGGCAGAAAAGTCCGTGAGACTCTGATCTCCAATAAAAACCACTAGAAAACTGGAAGTGGTGCTGTGGCTCAAGTAGTAGAGCACTCGCCTTGAGCTGAAGAGCACAGGGACAGCACCCAGGCCCAGAGTTCAAGCCCCATGACCGGGAAAAAAAAGGGGAGGCAGTCGGGTGCTGGTGGCTCATACCTGTAATCCTAGCTACTCAGGAGGCTGATATATGAGGATCTCAGTTCAAAGCCAGCCTGAGCAGGATAGTCTGTGAGACTCTTATCTCCAATTAACCACCTGAAAACTGGAAGTGGCACTGTGCTCAAGTGGTAGAAAGCTCACCATGAGGGGCTGGGAAGGTGGCTCAGTGGTAGAGTGCTTGCCTCGCATGCATGAGGCCCTAGGTTTGATTCCCCAACACCACATAAGCAGAAAAAAGCCAGAAGTGGTGCTGTGGCGCAAGTGGTAAGGTGCTAGCCTTGAGCTGAAGAGCTGAGGGACAGTGCCCAGGCCCAGAGTTCAGACCCTACAACCGCCACCACAACCACCACCAACAACAACAAAAAAAGAAAAAAAGAAAAGAAGAAGAGCCTTGAGCTGAAGAGCTCAGGGACAGTGCCCAGGCCCAGGAAAAAAAAAAAAAAAAAAAGGACTAGTTCTGCTGGGATCATAGACTCACATTTGGAAGGCAGAGATTGGGAGGATTGTGATTTGAGGCCAGTTAAGACAAAAAGTTATTAAGACTCCCTCTCAACCAATTAAGCTGGGCGTGGTGGCACCTGCCTGTCATCCTAGCTGTGAGGAAGGCCATGGGAAGAGGATCATAGTGTAAGGCCAATCTTGGGGAAAAACACAAGGCCCTATCTGCAATTAGTGCCAGCACCAGTTCCCCTAACTCAACAACTACCAAAGACAAAGCAGGACAGCTGCTGCGGGCTTGTTCTAGGGAGCAAAGTCCCTAGAACAAGGCTGGAGGGAAACAAACATGGCTGCCGTTGGGTGGGGGCAGTGTCTGTAACTTTTTTCTCCTTTGTATTTTCCAGGTTGTTTTGTTTTTCTTGAGACAGGGTCTTGCTATGTATAGGGCAGGCCGGCCTGGAACTCAGGATCCTCCTGCCTCAGCCTCAGAGTGCTGGGATGACAGCATGCACCTGACTACTTTCCAATGATTACACAGTCCACCTCCCAGCCTGTCCGTGTGGCCTGAGCACAGTTCTCTGTATAAAGGGCTCTTTGAAATCCCCAAGCCTGTAATCCACTACCGCCACGACACACAGCACGCCATCCCCTCCCGTCTCTAATGTCTGCGGCTCACAGAGCTCCAACAGGGACCCCCAGCAAGGGCACATTAACCGCAGCTGCTCTGCTGCGCTCGCGGTCCTGACCCCGGAGGAGCACAGGAGCCGGCCTCGCTGTGCAGACGAAGGCCTGGGGGCCGCGGAGGAGCCAGGCTCTGCAGCGCCTCTGCCGTGTGCCCAAGCCGGCCTCACAGCCCAGGGATTCCCTGGACACTGGCAGCCGCGGCAAGGGCTCTGGGCCTGGCAGGGACCCTGACCTTGTTGAAGTCCTCTGCGGTGGCCCTCATCTCCTTCCAGGTCTTGTTCAGCAGCTGGATGCAGATCCCAAAGAGCTCCTCAAATGCCCGGTCGTGGGTAAAGAACATGGGGTGGTAGTCGTTGCGCCCTTCGTTGGCTGTGGAAGGGAAGTGACAGAGAAGGGCTGTGCTTCCGTCCGGAATTGGGTCAGGAACAAGAGCCGCAGGACGGGCAGCCTTCCCCGCTTCCCCATGCAGGGCCCTGCTTCCGCCTGCCACGCGCTCCCTAGGCCAACACATAGGCCTGGATAAGATGGATGATCAGTTCATACCGAAATTAAAAAAGAAAATAAGAGCCAGGTGCCAGTGGCCTGCAATCCTAGCTACTTGGGAGGCTGAGATTCAAGGATGGCAGTTCAATGTTAGCCTGGGCAAGAAAGTCTATGAATATTCATCTCCAATTAGCTATCAAAAGACTGGAAAAGGAGCTGTGGCTCATGGGGTAGAGCACCATCCTTGAGTGAAAAAGTCAAAAGCAAGAGTACAAGGCCCTGAGTTCAAGCCCCAGTATGTACACACACACACACACACACACACACACACACACACACACACGAGAGAGAGAGAGAAAAGAACCAGTCAGTGCTGATGGAATCTAAGCCCTGACACAGCCAGTCTCACCAGGCTTGGGCTACAAGGCTGGCTGATGAAGGAGAGGGAGCCATGGACTTACGTAGTTCTCCGACCTGCAGGATCTCACAGAGCATTTTGGTGAGCTCAATGGCACTGCGGCCAAATGGGCATTCGTGTTTGTCTTCTCGGCTGCTGTTCTCCAGCACGATCTGGGGGAAGAGGAAAGGGTGACCAGGGAAGTGAGGGAGGAAGGCATGGCTGGACACCAGCAGTGACAGGCCAGGTCCTCCCCACCCCTCCACTGTCCTTACACGGATGTAGGTGTCCTGGTGGACTTTGGCCAAGTACAGCATGTTGTCCAAGGCGAGCATTCCCGGAGGCGTCTGGGTGAAATCCAAGGCAGGGTTCACATGGTTCTGGAGAAATTAAGATGCCTCATGTGAGTTGGGGAGTCCCTGTACAGAATGACCCGGGGAACCTGCTCTTCCTCCCTGTGCTACCTGCAGACCACTCACCTTGGACCTAGGGCCAACCACTGCCCATGTCCACTGCCAGACCACGAGGTCCTGCAGCACAGGACTGAGGCTGCCTGTACCTCTTGCACCCTAGCACCCAGCATGCTGCTAGGCACTTAGCAGGCGTGCAGTATATACTTGATCAAATTAACCTCTCAAGCGTGCTACATTCTATCATGAAATGATCACTCCAGCTCTGCAAAGATCCTGTGGCTCCTTCTAGCCACTCGGGCTGACCTCCCACGTCCTCCCACTGCTGGATTTCTTCTGTAAAACAAGCACCCAGCCCCTCCACCCGTGTGCTGTCCCCCGTTAGAAAGGGAAAGCTGTCCGGGCTTTGTCAGTTGGGCCTTTGGACTTCTCACCAGGGAGGGAGCCTGCTGCCAGCCACTCTCCAGGCACTTACAGTAAATCCCAGCATCTTGTAGTCCTTGGTGTACATGGCTTTGCGTTTCTCGGTCCCACTTCCAGGGACACTGCTCGGGTCAGACTCTGCATCGAATGCGATCCTCCTCAGTTCAAATATAATGTCTCTTTGAGCCTTGGAGAGGGAACAAAGAGGCGGCAGGTGAATCAGCAGCCAAGGAAGCAAGGAAGAGAAACGGTGGGCAGATGGTGAATTCTTGTGGGGCATCACTTCCACCACAGGGCAGAAGTGGGTATGGCTCAGATTCCTCAGCCAGCACACAGGACTTCCCAGGGCCAGCAGTACACACAGTGCACACATGTGTGTGCCCTGAACAGACTGAGTGTGGGATGCACCACAGCTGTGAGAAAACAGCACACCATAGGCCAGAGAGGCCCCCTTAGCACCTGCCTGGTCATTGGGGTCCATCTTGGTCATCATCCTTTCTTCCAGAAGGTTAAAGGTCAACACTTGAAGCACGTACAGCTGGTGGGCCATCTCTGTTTTGATGGGGCGGTTCCCTCGGATCACATGCTGGGAAAAGCACACGCAGAGGGCCTGGGCTGAATGGACTGGTTTTTGTTTTTTGTTTTGGTCAGTCGTGGGGCCTGAACTCTCTGGGCCTGGGCGCTGTCCCTCAGCTCTTTAGCTCAAGGCTCGCTCTACCACTTGAGCCTCAGCCCCACTTCCGGCTTTTTCTGCTTATGTGGTGCTGAGGAATCAAACCCAGGAATTGAACTCATGCATGCAAGGCCAACAGTCTACCACTGAGCCCCCTTCCCAGCCCCGGACTGTTTTTGTGAAGAGCCACATCCATGCTGGAGATGAAATGCGCGGGGCAGGGGACGCTTCCTCCCGGCAGAGGGGCCCCTGAGACGAGGCTGAGGATGAACGGGTCCCATTCAGGCGGGGATGACTCACTGCAGGCCAAGGGCGTGCTCCCTGCCTCAGGGGCTGAGGCTGGGTGCAGGGCAGGGCCGCGCCGCTGCTTTCCTGCCTCTCACCACCCTCCTTCTCCTTTTTTGTGCCAGTACTAGAGCCTAAAATCAGGACCTGACCTTTTTAGCTCAAGACTGGCACTCTACTACTTGAGCCACAGCTCTACTTCCAGCTTTTTAGGAGTTAACTGAAGATAAGAGCTTCATGGACTTTCCTGTTCAGACTGGCTTTGAACTGTGATTCTCAGATCTTGGCCTCCTGAGTAGCTAGGATTACAGGAGGGAGCTGGCAGTACCCGGCTCTTTATACCTAATCTTGTGCCTCTGTCATCCTTTCTTCCTCTACTCCTCCCTCTCTAGCACCTGACTTCTCCCAACCTGCTGGTCCCCAGGCCTCCCTTCTCCCTTCCCTTCCCTTCCAGACAGCTCTGGAGATTGGTGCAAGTTAGCATGTGCTTGGTTTTCATTTCCTTTACCCCCTTTCTCAAGCTAAAGACACCACAGTGGGGCCAGACACTGGTGGCTCATGCCTGTAATCCTAGTTACTCAGGAGGCTGGGATCTGAGGATCATGGTTCAAAGCCAGCCCAGCAGGAAAGTCCATGAGACTCTTATCTCCAATTAACTACCAGAAAACTGGAAGTGGTGGTGTAGCTCAAGTGTTAGAGCGCTTACCTTTGAGCTGAAGAGCTGAGGGACAGTGCCCAGGCCCAGAGTTCAAGCCTAAACCATAGCGGGAAGGCCTGAACCAGAGGGTGGGCACCAGCCATTCTCTGACTGAGCTTTAAGTCCTGATTTAAGCCGAGTTGTCTTCTATAGAGATTCAAATGGTTTGTCCAGAAGTGAGCTGAACTTCTAACCCCATAAAGGCAAGTAAGTCTCAAAAGTAATTAAACTGCTCCGTAGAAGGCACCCTCATCCCCCACACAGGAGGGCGCCTGACCACGGCTCAGGAGTGCTGAGCAACGCATGGGAGGACACGCGCCCCGTCGCTGGGGGCCAGTGCCCCACTGTTTGCCTGGAGCGCCTCCTGTCCGCCTGGCAGCCAGGCTGTGACCCGGTGGCCAGCAGGGAGGAGCCAGTGGCAGGCAGGCTGCAGGTGTAAAACAGCTGACCAGCGCACTGGTTTTATCAATGAGGGCTGTGACATTGCCACCCATGCGAACAGACAGTGTCCAGATGAGTCTCTCTCTAATCACTCCCTCATCGCTCTCCACCACCCTACTCCTGCCTTCTTATAACAGTTCCGACAGGCTTCATTGTTGTACTTCAGTACAGGCACGCTTCTCTTTTTTAACTTTTTTAAATCATTATTGTAAAGGGGATGTTTACCTAAGTCAGGGAACGAGAACATTTCTTTTTGGACAAAGTCACTCCTTCCCTCCACACTTACTCTTGAATGCTGTGGCCTTCCCTGCTGTGCCCAAAGAGCCCAACAGGTACCGGGCACCCTGCTGACTGCTGCTGGGAGCCCGTTCACAGCAGGGCGACCGGCTCAGGATCAGAGCAGACAGGGTGACAGCGCCCAGCTGCTCCACGGCCCCGCCCACGCCCAGCCTTTCACACCTGACCCTCGAGTAGAGTATTCGAGTGTTCGTTCACCTCCTTCCTCCACTGTGGTCTCTCATTTTCTCATTTCTGACAACTGCTAAAACTGCTTCCTTTGATCCACCCCACACCACCCCAGGGTAACCAGGAAGGCGCTGTCTTTCCAGGCCCCTCTCCAACCATTCAGCTCTGCCTCTCCTCTCCCCACCCCTCTCCCCTGCTCAGGACACACACCTAAAACTGTAGCTGGGTGAGGAGACTAAGGCTGAGCTTGGTCTGCAACCTCATGACAGACTGGCTCCCCACCCCACCCTGCCCAGGCACAGGCCCTTCCTGGCTTCCTGGCCCAGCTGAAGACATTCTTTGAAAGGCCTCTGACCCCTCCTGCAAGCCAGGTCACTGCTCCTGTCCTCCCCTGACCACCAGGCTCCAGGAAGCACTGACCACTGTGCTGCACCAGGTCTGGACAGCGCGCTAGTCTTTCAGTGTCTCTGGGACTCACGTTTATGACCAGTGTAAGCTGGGCCAACTGCTCTACTCTTCCATGCTGTTCTCACATTTCATCCTGGATAGAACGCTTTGGAGTTGTGAGGAGCAGTTCAGATGGCCTCACTTCCTCCCTGGAGATGCTGCGATTCCTGGTAGGATAAACTTCCTCCCAGATACCTCTGCCCAGAGGGCTACAAGAAAGACCTTTTCCATGATGAGCACCAGTGCTCATGCCTGTAATCCTAAGTAACCAAGAGGCTGAGATGTGAGGATTGTGATTTCAAGCCAGCCCAGGTAAAAAAAAAAAAAAAAAAGTCCATGAGACTCTTACCTCCAGTCAACCACCAAAATGCTGAAGTGGAGCTGTGGCTCCAGTGGTAGCATGACAGCCTTGAGAGGAAAACAGCTAAGGGACAGCGCTCGTCCCTGAGTTCAAGCCCCATACCACACAAAAATAGACTGAAACCTCAGAAATCTTTACGTGGTTCCCACCAGATACTTTACTCACAGTTTTGCTAAAATAATTATTTAACAATAAGCAAATAATTGCCCTGAAAATGCAAGCCTAAACAAATGTTCTTGTCTAGTTTGCACATTCTGATTATGCAATAAACATTAATTCCCTAAGTATTCAATAAGAAAAGCACAAAAAGAAAAGCCTTTCCAGTCTAAGAAAGTCCTCCCCTCTCAACAGTAACTAGCTACCGTCATAGTGATAATATTAGTATTATATTAACATTAGCAGAGGACATGTGTTTCAGGAACTTACATTCAGGATTATGGAGCGGAGGTGCTTCTGTGCAAAGGCATTGGCCATGTCCTAGGAGAAAAGCAGGGGAGTGTCAGGAGGGGCCATCGTTCCCCTGTGACGGTTATCCTGGGAATGGTGTCAGAGCTCTGGACCTTTCCTCTGCCATCTCTTCCTTCCAAATGACAAGGAGGTGAATGGAACAGAAAATCCACTAACCACCAAATGCATTTCACACTCTAAAACACACTAACATTGGCTTTTTCATGAGTGCCAATTAACTCAAATGGAGTTTTCCTTCCTGATGGTGTGTAATCAACTATATCACCTTCGGAGAGGGACGTGGACGGCTTGTTGACGAGACACTGTCATGAGAAAGCTGGGCAATGGACACTGCATGCGGAGCAGAGAGCAGCACGGGGCCCAGCTGCATGGCCCCACCTCCAACAAAGCACTGACTCAACCGGGGCGCTTCGGCCTGCACCCCACAATGCCCACACCGAAGCCACCTGGCACTTGGCTACCTTATAAATCCACACTACGCTGGGGGGTGGGGGGTGGAGGGGTCTTCAGGGGCAGATTCTCATAAAAAGTTCCTATGATTCAGATTTGGCAGTAAAGTATCCTAGATCAATGAATCTTCTAGAGACTTTAGTTTCAAGGGTTCTGTCAGCACTGTTATTTTCTCCATTCTTACTGACAAATCTCTCAGAAATCTACACATCCTTTACTTCTGAAGAGACTGCAATGGTTGTAACTCAGTCCTGCAAAGGCCTCGGCTTCATCTAGACGCACACCAGTGCTGAGGCTGGCTGCGCCCCGTGCTCCCCGAGGAGCTGCGGCTCCCAGGCCACCATGCTTTCATCTGTTCTGCCAGCTTTTCCCAGTTCCTCTGCCTTCCCCTCCAGGGCAAGTGTTAGCCAACACGCACTCGCATTACTCAGGTTGGCTTTCCTTCATGCATGCTATAGACCGGACTCAGGCAAAGGGATATCACAGGAAAGCCTGGGTCCCATCCCCTGGGCAGACATCCCTCAGTCCTTCTGGGACTCTCCTCTCCGCCCAGTGCTCCCTTGCCCATCTGGACAGTGAGATGGACAGTACATAACCTTTCCCTGAGCACTGGGTTCCCTGAACATCGAGGTCAGCCTGTGTACTGCTGCCCCGCTTTGACCTCCCCTCTGAGAAGAGCCGGGCCCTTTCCACAGTGGTGCTACTTACAGTGACAGGCAGATCTAGAGGATTAAGGTGCTTGTCCTGCCGGCAGAAAGCAAAAGCACAGAGAGAAGCAGACAGAATGAGCTTTTGGATTACATTCAAACAAGGACTGGATGGGAAGAGATTCACAGAGCTACACCATCCAAGACAGACAAGGACAGACAAAGCACAGACACTCCTGTACCTCCCTCTAGAGCCTCCCGAGAGCCTGACACTCAATTCCACTCGGAACTCATCTCGCCAAGCCCATGACAGTGACAGAATTAGAAAGTCTTACTGTCGTACATGACTTGGGCTTTCAGCAGAGAGATCTAGAATGGCAGTATTGGATGGGCCCTTAGAGATCATTTAATCTGATCCTTTCATTTTACAGAGACAAGCAGACCTGAGGAGGATAAAAACACTTGTCCAACCACAGGCAGGAAAAGCACTTGGTCCCAGAACCCTGGGCTCAAGGGATAAGTGCCTGTCTGCGGCCTGGTACTCCTGGCGCCCTCGTTTGTAAAACGGGGTCATGCTGTTCCTCATGACAACCTTGTGAGGTCAACAAGGCAGACGTCATTACTCCTACATTCCCAGTGAGGCTCAGCAATTTGTATGTCACACAGCTGATGAGTAGAGGAAAGGGCTTGGAACTCAGTTCAAAGGACTTCAAGAACAAAACTTAGCACTAAGTGCCATTTGTTCACAACCCCCTGACCTCAACAATGACACCAGAGGGTTTTCCCTTCCCTGTTCTCTTACCTAGGACTCAGTAAGTTAGGCCTGATTGCACGCCGTGCCTGTTCATTTACCTATTATCTGAGACTACGCGAGCCAGGTTGGAGAGTTGCCACAGAGTCTTGTGAGGTTTAAGAAAATGTTTATAGTCTGGCCTCCAGAGGAAAAGCTTTCAGGCCCCATTCTGATCCAACACCCGGCTAGTCTCTCCCCCAACAGTTTCTCCCCAAGAGCTCCTTGCCAAAGCCACCCTGCTCAGCTCTGGCCATAGAACACCAGGAGGAGAAGCTCTTAGGAAAACAGCTGGATTTCTGCTCTCTGCCCAGCAAGGAGGTGGTACAGTAGGAATTCTTCTGGAAGAGCCCAAATGGCAGGTTTGAAGAGGCAGCCACAGACCTGTCGCTTATCCTCAGGTGCCTTCAGGAACAGTGCATTAATCAGTGCGATGGCATAGGTCTGGATCTCCTGGTTGGAGCTGTGTCAATGGAGACAGATGAAGAGGGAGATCAGAGGACTGAACAGCAAGACCAAGCTCACAGACAGCTTGAAGCAATTACTTACAGACTAATCAAATAATAACCCAAGGCTGAAGTCTCAAAAGCATTTCAAGTGGGCCCATTCTTGACCCAGCCATTCCACAATAGGAATCTATCCAAGACAGTAAACAGAATGCTATCCAAGATTTATCAGGAAGTGACTCTATTAGAATACTAATAAAAAAGACAAAGAACCGTTAAGCAGCCCAAATGTTCTCATTAGCAACTCTGTTTAACATGAGAGAATTTAAATTAGCAATTTAAACTGTATTTTAGGGTGAGGATTCTTAACGTAGTACTCAGAGATGTAATCTGTGAACCTCAAAAATGGTGTAGGCTCATTGCCTACAATCCTAGCTACCCAGGAGGTAGAAAGCTGAGCATCAAGGTTCAAAGCCAGACCATGCAGAAAAGTCTGTGAAACTCTTACCTCTGATTAATCAGCAAAAAGCAGGAGGTAGAACTGTGGCTCAAACAGTAGATCACTAGCTTTGAGCAAAAGAGCTAAGGCCCTGAGTTTAAGCCCCAACACACACACACACACACACACACACACACACACACACACACACACACACACACACTATACATTTATTTAGTGGACTATGTTTTCCAAGTCCCTGAGTTTAAGCCCCAATACACACACACACACACACACACACACACACACACACACACACACACACACACACACACACACACACACACACACACACACACACACACACACACACACACACACACACACACACCAAAGAAATGAGAATCCGCAGTGGGATTTTTGAAGGCATCTGGGATGCAAAAAAGACTTAGACATATCTTTTTTTTTTTTTTGGTCCGGTTGTGGGGCCTGAACTCTGGGCCTGGGCGCTGTCCCTCAGCTCTTCAGCTCTACCACTTGAGCCACAGCACCACTTCCGGCTTTTTTCTTATGTGTTGCTGAGGAATCGAACCCAGGGCCTCAGGCATGCAAGGCAAGCGCTCTACCACTGAGCCAATATCTTTTTATATTTATTTATTTATTTATTGCAAATCCTGGGGCTTAAACTCAGGGCCTGGGCACTGTCCCTGAGCCTCTCTGCGCTCAAGGCTAGCACGCTACCACTTGAGCCACAGCGCCACTTCCAGCCTTTTCTGTTTATGTGGTACTGAGGAATTGAACCCAGGGCTTCATGCATGTTAGGCAAGCACTCTACCACTTACCCACATTCCCTGCCCTAGACATATCTTTGACATGAGGAGGCAGGGGCCTCCTGGTCAGGTGGAGGGGCTACATCTCCCATCTACACAGGAAAAACACACACATGCAAGACCAAAGCGCATCATAGCCTACCTCTAGGAAATGCTGTGTGCCCTGGCCCCAGGCCATCCCCAAGAGACCAAGGAATGGAGGGTAGGTGGAAGGTCACCAGAAAACCCTGCAATCAGGCTCCCTAACGCCCCTTTCTCCCTCATCAGCCATGTTGGCTCTTTTGGTATGAAAGCTAGGGTTGACTAATTCCTTAGGAGTTACAGGATGACATCATAGCTGCAAAGAAGTCACTGTGCTCTTTTCCTTAGGGCTGGTGGGAAATCAGCCCCCAAATCTGGGGGTGCTTAAGTCCCCGAACCCTGCAGGGGATCTGGCCCCATTCTAACCAACTCCCACGTGGAAGTGGCGAGAAAGAATGGAGGGGAAAGAAAGCATACGCCAAGGCTCTATTGGGCTTCATTGTAGAAATGTGTTGGGATGTAATAAGTGTTTTTAAAATAAACAAAAAGTGCTTGCTTGCCAATGGCACATTCTTCTGAGCAGAAATAAATTTTGCCTTGCTGAGACAAAAATGAACTTTACAACTTTGGCCAGGATGGGGAGTGGTGGGGGGGTGGGAGATGGGAAGGGGAAACAAAGGAGGAGGCAACAATGCTTGATAAGAAATGTATTCATTACCTTGCCCATGTAATTGTAACCCCTCTGTATGGTATTTTCACAATAAAAAAAATAGGGGGAGGGAGGGAGGAAGGATGGGAGGGAGGGAGGGAAGGAGGGAGGGATGGAGGGAGGCAGGCAGGCATTTAATGTATTTAATGAACAGCTAGTCTGGGGTGGCAACCATGCTAGTCCTTTTTCCTATCTCCTTTGGGCCCCAGAGCCTGGAAAGTGGGGGTAGGATTAGCCCCAATCTAGAGGAGAGGCAACTGAGGCCAGGGAAGATTAAGTAGCTTGCTGATGGCGGAGACCTTCCTTGAGGGCGGCAGAGCCTGGATTTGCAGGCCTATACCACACCGTTCACATTGCCACAGTACACCAGCAAGGGTCATCAAACAGATACAAAATGAGCTTCTACTTAAATCAGAGTACAAGAATGACTGTCCCTAAGGGGTCAAAGTTTCAGGTGGGCAACATAACAAAAATACAGCATTTTATCTAAGTAGCATTATCAAAAGTATAAACAGAGCCCACTAGAGCATTGGGAGAAGCAGCCTTTAACGCAGCCTGGCATGTGGGTGGTACAGAGACTGAGAAAACCTCTATGTGAGCCTAAAGGGCACATAGAGTGAGGATTTCAGGCAGGAGAAGTCATGGTACGACTGAACTACAGGAGGAATTCCAACAGTTGCATGGAAGAGGTCCTGAAGGCATGGGCACAGTGTGGACCATACACAAGGCAGAGAGAGGAAAGAACACATGCTGAGGGGAGGGGAGGCGGGGTCTCTTACTCACACCTGCAGGTGGGAGATGAGCTGTCCCACGGTGATCTCCTCTGCTATCTTCTGGTATAGGCTCTGGCTGTTCAAGACCATGCTCTCCAGGATGGCCAGGGACCGCTGAAGGATGGACACATCCACCATGGGCTGGCTCACATACCCTGCAATCTAGACCCAGACAGAGGCATGTTAAGTGGAAAACTCAGGGCCCAAGGAAGGTAGGCCCTCAGTCACCCAGCTGAGCCTGGCACCAGCTCTAAGGCTCTGCCCTCAGGCACGCTGCCTGTAGTTGTGGCTGGGAAGGCTTGCTGTCTGGTGTATGGCTACCCTAGCCTTGTGCCAGGATGACCCAGGCATGGATCCCTTCAGCTCAGATTATACTAGCCACTTGATTGTTTCTCCAAACCCAAGTTTAATCTTTGTTTTCAAAATAAGACTGCAGGCCTGAGAAAGCCAAAGGCTTGCCAATTCTGGAATTTCACTTATCTCCATCTACTTTTCTCCTGACGTAGATTTTTCTCCTTCCACACTGCCAGACTTGGAGAGGCGGAAAAGACCTTGAAATGTTTTCACCTTCCCCTCTTCTCAACCCTCATTTTATTTCCTAGGCACATGGACGCCCCCAGTGCTGAAAGTCCCCAATACTCCAGACCAACCTGGGCCATCTTAGGTCGGGGGGTCTAACTCTAGCCTCTGTTTTCAGCTCAGTTTTCTAATCCACGCTACCTCTTTTGGTAGAATAAAGAAAGGCAGAAGCAGAAGTGCCCTTCTACCCTCTCTGGTCCCTGGGACAACTCACGTGGGCTACCTTGTAGATTCGTGAATGGAAAGCAGATTTGGAAATGACAATCATGCATTTTTATCCATCAAGAAGGGAGAGTTAGTTAGGGAAGCAGGTCAGAAGACTCGTGGAGGGTAGCAGTTGACTGACTGGTTGCTTCTAAGTCTCACTGGCAGTTCTACTCTGATCATCTTCTGCTGGGAGCCCCTTCAACCTTCTCGCCCTGAGAGACGATGGCTGCTGACTTCCTATCTGGCTCTCCTTGCTCTACTTCCACTTTTCAGGGTCACACGAGTTATATGCATTTGGAGAAACTTTTGCTCTTGTCCGGGGCTCACTAGCCTCTCCCGATGCTGGGCCCCGAGTTGGGCCTGCCTCAGTGACAGGGAACCAGAGACCTGACAGCAGGCTGGGCTGCTAAGCTAGGATGTTCAGTCAGTTAGGTTCTGCAAACACATTTTCAATCTGGTGATATTTTCAACTTACAATGGGTTTATCAAGTTAGAGCCCATCAGGTTGAGAATCCATCTGTAAAACACCATGTGAATCTTTCAGGAGCCACAGAACTCAGAGCCTGGGGATGAAAAGTCTGGTACCCAGAGAATAGAAAGCTGACCCTTGGTAGAGTGTTCAGGCCAACTGTCCCTATCTGCCCTATCTGTACAGCGACCTGGCGGCTGGGGGTAGAAGGAGAACAGCAGAGGCCTCACCTGCTTAATAAAGGTGATTGAAACCATGTCCCAGGAGACAATGCCATGGTCCATGAGCTCTAAGAAGGCAGTCAGGGTGAATGCCAGCATCTCACTGTAGCTGAGACATGTGTGACACACACATACACACACACAAAATAATACAAAGATTCAGATCTGTGAACATAGTGTGACAGCAACTACAACAGGGCAGAGACTTCAGTGTGACACCCCATGGAGAGTCGGCCGGAGCAGCAGGAAGTGCCTGCGCGTAGCCTTGGCCAGATGTGGAGCCGATTCAGTCCAGATACTGCTCACTGCAAATGAGAGGCTGCTGGCTCGTGAGGCTAACCTTCCCCATGCTGCTGCACAGGACAGAGACTCACGCATCCACGATACCCAAACAAAGAGACTTCCCAGCCTTGGACACTTGCTGGGGAAAGAGGGAGCTTACGTCCCATGTTACCTTCAGCAGCATGGGGGAGAAAGAGTACAAGGCCCCCAACCTGGTTCAGTTCCTCTTCAGTCACTTACTAGTCATGCAAAGCTACCCCTCAATCTTCAGCTTCCGCCTCAGAAGAGTGGAGTTAGTCCCTCAGCATTAACCTCCCTGAGCCACGGCGAGGGCAGGCTGACCTGTGCGCAGAGCCCTCAGGGTAATGCTGGTAGGAAAGGAGTGTACTGCCTTTAGTTTCTCCTCCTTACACTTTTACTCTTTGTACATGTGTATAGGGCTCTGTAATTAACAAACCCTCTTCTACTTCTCAGCATGTTCAGACACATTCTCATTATTAACAACCACTGAGAGGTAATCTCATTTTAAAGAGGAGGAAACTAAGGCCCGGTCAGTCTAACCCACATCTTCTGGGAGACTGCAGGACTCCTGATGGCAGCTGAAGGCTTCCAGACTTCAGTGCAGCTGGAACATCTAAGCCTCAGAACAAACACCTAGGCTCTGTTGGTTGGTTTGGCTGAAGATTCGCCTGAGAGCAGATGTGTGAATCCCTGTGTGCCTGCTTTGGCTCTGCGGGTTCACACAGAACCGCTGGGTGAAAGGTGTGGCCTCGCCTCATCTACTCTGGAGGGTATAAAAGGTGCTCATGGGGACATCAAGTTCTGGTCTCCTCCTCCTTGAGAAGGTGGGGGTCCAGACACCTAGTGGGGGAACCAGCAGCAAACAGACATGAAGGCCAGTGTATTTGTGATCATGTGGTTGGAGGGGGCTGGGGAGAGGGAGAGAGTGCACCTGGGAGACAACAGTCCATTCTGCTTCTAGACTGTCGCCAGGCCAAGCTTGCCTGCCTCTTTGTTTTTTCTGGTTGGTTATGGGCCTTGAGCTCAGGGCCTAGGCACTGTCCCTAAGCTTTTTGCTCAAAGCTAGCATTCTACTATTTTTGAGGCACAGCACCACTTCTGGTTTTCTGGTGGCTAATTGGAGATAAGCATCTTATGGACTTTCCTGTCCTGGCTGGCTCTGAACTTAAGCCTCAGATCTCAGCCTCCTGAGTAGCTAGGATTATAGGCATGAGCCACCAGTTCTCAGCTCTGCCTGCCTGCCTGTCTGTCTTCCTGCCTGCCTTCCTTCACTCTCTTCTCTCTCGCTCTCTTTTTTGGTGCTAGTACTAAAGCTTAAACTCAGGGTATAGGTGCTGTCCCTGAGCTTTTTTGCTCAAGACTAGCGCTCTACCTTTGGAACTACAGCTCTACTTCTGGCCTTTCAGTGGTTTAACTGGAGATAAGAGCCTCACAGACTTTCCTGACCGGGCTGGCTTTGAAGTTCAATCCTCAGATCTCAGCCTCCTGAATAGCTAGGATGACAGGTATGACGACTGGCACCCAGCAGGCTAGGTGTTTCTATAAATGACTGGGGCCCCTATTTTACAGTTCAGGGGGCATGGCAGGGTACCATGACGTGTGCAAGCCCATGGCCTCAGATGTAGGACCACAGTGAGCCAGGCCTCTGCTGGACTCCAGTACACTGTCCCTGCTCGGTGAGTCCGTATCTGATTCATGCAGTAGGAAGTAAGCGCTTAGTAGGCCTCTGAAGTCCCCAGTAACACTCACTGGGACAAGAGCTTCGTCCCGCTCTCCACGAGCCTCGTCAGCACAGCGATACCGTCCATATTAATGAACTCGGTGGCGAACGTCACGTCGGCGGAGAGCTTGGCCAGCTCCTTCATGGCATCCAGCCGGGCCTCCATGTTGGATGACTGGGTCCTCTCCATCAGCTGGCGTGCGGCCCGGGACTGTGAGATCAGGGACAAAACACATGCCATCTGCTCCTTGTGGCAGGTTACTGCCGTGGAGAGCCCCAGGGGCCTCTCTGCAGAATCAGTTCTTCACACTGCTTAGGAGTTGCTAAATAAAAGTGTATGGGGTCAATCAGGGAGTTTCCAGGATGCCAAAACCAATCCGTATGTTGTCTGTGCCCCTCTGGGCTCTGGAGCAGGCGAAGGTAGATTAGTAACTAGAGAGTCAGAGAAGCAGACCCTGGCGTAACGGGCATCTTATCATTAACCCAGCAGCAGCAGCAGGATTCAGGGAGGAATGGAGCTCCTGTCACTGTCCTAGGAGAATGTGACAGCAACTACCACAGGGACAGAACCTAATCTGATGACCCTTCAGGTCCCTTCTAATCCTACAATGTGATAAGCTTGCCAGTAACAACAAACAAACGAAACTTTCTCTCCAAGTCCAAAGGAGCAGTCCCCAGAGAAGAGGAGCAGATATCCCGCTTTATAAAGATGGTGAAGGCCTCACTTCCCCACCACAGGACACTGCCCCATGGCCAGCCTCCTCTCCGCAGTTCCCTCTCTCTCTGGTTCTCTCCCTCCCTTCTTCCCTATTGTTTAACTGAACATTCTCAGCTCTAAAGAACCTTAAGGGTGGGCTGGGAAGGTGGCTCAGTGGTAGAGTGCTTGCCTTGCATGCCTGAGGCCTGGGTTCGATTCCTCAGCACCACATAAGCAAAAAGAAAAAAGCAGGAAGTGGCGCTGTGGCTCAAGTGGTAAAGTGGTAGCCTTGAGCTGAAGAGCTAAGGGACAGCACCCAGGCCCAGAGTTCAGGCCCCACGAGCGGACCAAAAAAAAAAAAAAAAGAACCTTAAGGGCAAAAATGTTTCTTCCTCACCTTTCTTCTCAGTGTCTGGCAAGTGACTAAAGCCCAGTTCTGTGGCCAGCCAAGGAGTCAGGCCAGCGGCCCCCCCAGAGGGCTGTCACTGCACCCTGCTCTTAGTGCTGCACAAAGCCACCAGAACAATCTGAAGATCCCTGGCTGTAGCACACTTAGAAACTTCCAGTCTGAGTGTCAGTTTTCCTCTGGAGACAGCACTCTGGGCCGCTCGGTGGAGTGAGGACTCCCGGAGCAGCACGCTAAGTTAGCACAGCTTCAAGGGAGGGGAGAAGGCCAGAGAAATGGGGGAGGCAAAGAATATGACAGTAAGAAAACTGTCCTAGCGTCACATAGGCTGGGCTTCAAGAGCAGGCTCGGCCAGCTGTGTGACAAGCAGCAAGCTGTGTGTCCTCAGCTCCCCTGTCACACACAACTGTGCCGGAAATCAGCAACTGAAAGATCAGAGGTGGCACTGGGTAGGTGAGGGCAGGACAGTGACTTTTCAGCAGCTCTTTGTCAAACCTCACAATTCTTGAAACACATTCATGTTTTACCTAATGGGGAGGTAACTGAGATGTGTACAGGTCTTGGGCCCGCTATGCAGGTTCTCTACCACCTGAGCCACACCTGCAGCCTTTTGCATACGTTATTTTTCAAATAGGATCTTGTGGGGTGCCTCCAGCAGTGATTCTTCTACCCATGTCTCCCACCATCCCTGGGATTATAATATGACCACTATGCCTGTTGTTGAAATGGGAATCTAATTTTTGCCCAGGCTCATCTTGAACCATGATCTTCCCAGTCTCTACTTCCCAAAGTGCTGGCATTAAAGGCATACATCACTGAACTCAGCCAGTATTTTACCTATTTTTATTGTAGCATGTTCTGTTGCATATCCCCTCTGAGTTGCTACCTTTTGAAATCAAGTGTCTTTATCTAGCAGTAGACTTCAGGCTCTCTATTTCCCAAGTAACCTTTCTGTTACTCAGTCCACTCCATCCGGCCGCCACCTGCCCCACCAGAGCTGGCCTTGTGCAGCCCAGCACTGGCTTCCCAGATCCTTCTCTGTGGTTGGCCTTGGCTCTGCTCATTACACCTTCCTCCACTGTGACAATCTCCCTGTTCTCAACTATGACTGCCCACTCCACGTACCCCTCCCTCCCTCTCTCTCTTTTTTTTAATTATTTATTTATTTATTAACTATTTTTTTTGTCTTTTTCTTTTTTGGTACTGGGGATCGAATCCAAGACGTTGTACTTGCTAGGCAAGCGCTTTGCCACTGAGCTATATCCCAGCCCTCTCTCTTTTTTTAGATAGGTCTTGAGATACAGCAAAGGCCTGCTTGCTCAGATGGCACTCTACCACTTGGGCCATACCTCCACTCTAACCCTGCTTTTTTCCTACTTATTTTAGAGATCGAATCACTGGGACTTTTCTGCTGAGGCACAGCCTTAAACAATGATCCTCTGGACCTCAGCCTTCTGAGTAGTTCGATTTTCCAGCATGCACCACCAGAGCCCAGCATGCACTTTAAAAAGTATTTTTATTGTTATTATAAAGGTGATGTGCAGAGGGGTTACAGTCAGGTAAAGAGCATTTTTTCCCCTTGCTTTCCCAGTTTTTTCTCCCATCCCACCCTCAAGCTGCACAGTTCATTTTCAACAAAGTGTCCAGTGAGTACCACTGTTGCATTGTTCACCCTTTGTCCCTCCAGTTCTGTGCCTCCCCTTACACTCCCAACCAGCAGGCACTTTTAAGTTAATGAATTACCTAGGCAGATAGAGGACCTACCGGGGAGACGGCCAGTTGTAAGATTGTCCCATTCTTAATATCATTTCGTGTCTGGAAAACAGAAAGAAAAAAAAACAAAATAAAATGTGACAAAGAAAATAGGAAAACAGGATTTTTTTTAGCTTTGTTTTTGGTGTGTGTGAAGGTCCTGGGACTTGAACTCAGGGTCTAGGTGCTGTCCCTCAGCTTTCTTTGTTCAAGGCTGGCACTCTACCACTTAAGCTATAGCAACACTTCTGGCTTTTTGGTGGTTAATTGGAGATGAGACTCATGGCTCTTCCTGACTGGGCTGGTTTCAAAGCGTAATCCTCACATCTCAGCCACCCAAGTAGCTAGGATTACAGGCGTGAACCGCCGACACTCAGCTTGTGGTCATTTTAAATTATAGTGTGCTTTTCTTGTTTTCAGGTTTCCATCATGGATAATCAGTTAAATGATGAATTGAAAATATGTGTGAAGGAAAAAAAAGTTGAACTTTGTTTATTGCTATTCTTGGGGCCTGAGAGCTAGCCTTAAGCTAGTGCTCAAGGCTAATGCTCTACCACTTGGAGCCCCAGCTCCACTTCTGGCCTTTTTCCTGGTTATTGGAGATAAGAGTCTCGTGGCTTTCCTGACTAGGCTGACTTCAAACTGCAATCCTCAATTCTTGGCCTCCAAGTAGCTAAGATTACAGCCACCAGGGCCGGGCAAAAAAGTTGCTTTTGAACATCAGATTTTCTCCCTGTCATGATTTCCTAAACAATACAGCCTAACAACCACTTACACAGCACTCCCATTTTAAGACAATGCAAATGACGGCGAACATGACTAGGCCCTATGCAAAGATTGCCCCATTGAACAGCTCAGCTGCAGACTCTGGAATCCCTGGAGGGGGTGGTGGGAGGGAAGAGGTGTCCCTCGATTCTGAGACCCTCTGTCCAGAAAAAGCAGCTCCTCACTCAAGAACTGGAGCTACCTGAATTAAGTATATTGAATAGTGCCGTCTCCCTGGATGGGTCCCTGGCAGGCCTATGCCACCTGTGGCCCAGCCAGTACTCACCTGTTCGGTGATATAGAGCTGGGGGCCGTCAGCATATCGGAGTGTGTAGTACTCTGGGTTTGGTAGTGACCACCTGTGCGAGAGAAAGAGTATATATCACTGGGCTACTCCTCCAGCCGGTCCAGAATCAGCAAATAAAGCCAGGCACCACAGGACAAGCCATAATCCTTGGTATGCAAAGGCATACATACATAGGAGGACCACAGTCCAAGGCCGGACCTAGGCCAGGATGCAAGTTCCTATTTGAAATATAATGTAGCAAAAAGAGCTGGGGGTATGGCTCATGTGGCAGAGCACCTGCCTACCAAAGTATACTGAGTTCAAACCCCAGAACTGCAAAACTAACTAAATAAAACGAAAATTAATACAGTTGCTCAACAGATTGAGTGACCTGTCTGGGGTTCAGTGGAATGTACATGGAGCTCTGGGTGGAATTGTGACAACCAGCCTCCTCTGGCTTTGAGGAGGGTTAACACCCCGAAAGGAGGTATACACATTGAGAGTGGCTCTCGGATTCTACCAGGACACCCGTGGGCATTCCTAAACTAAAGAGAACCAACAAAGGATCACAGGTCTCAGGGCCTTCCCTGAGGGCAGGGCCCCATGAGGGCCCCACACAGGCCAGGCTCCTGGAGAGCCCTGCACAGGCCCTTCTAGCCTGGTGGCTTCCTTCTGTGCCAGGTGCTGCCACTGAAAATGAGGTCACTCAACCTACCCATCGCAGACTTCCTTGATGATGGATGCCAGGGGCCGTTTCTGAAACACACACATACACACAAAGTGAGAGAAAGGGAGAGCATCTTCACCTGCAGCCACAGCTCCTCAGGCCACACTTGACGGGAGCCACAGCGGGCCACATGGCGGCCCAGGGCCCCCTCCCTGCAGGCAGCACGTGCCAGGGCTCCCACACCCCCCCCTCTCCTTTCAGCCCCGCTTCTCCACTCAGGAGCATACCTGGTCGATTTCAAGGAGCTGGGCGTTAGCACCTGGCCACTCAATGGCCACTTTGACAATGTCAGATGGTGGTGGCATGGTCCCCAGGAGGCCCTACTTCTCCTTGTCACAGTTACAGCTGCCTGGGAAGAAAGTAACACAGGGAACACAACTCAGTATGGAGTCCTCTAGAGCACACCACAACCTCTCCTTAGGTGGCTGTCCCTTTAGATGAGAATGGCAAGAGGAAATAGAATTAGGGCGGACCCCCTCTCACCCGTAGCTCAGCCAGGGGCCAGCTCTGCCCATGAGACACCAGCTCAGGGGTCAGAATGACTCTGTGTAGAAGAGCAGACTTTCTGCAAAGTCCCATCTTGGAGGGGAAGCGTGTGCTCTGATAAGAGTCGACAGTCCTCTCCTGGCTCAGCAGTCAGCCGAAGAGGCCAGAGGACTCAGGCAAGCCAGTAGACAGGCCCAGGCTCTCCGCAATGTCTGTCTGTCCCTCCCTTCCTCCCTCCTCATACTACAACTCCCCCCCCGCCCCCCTCCCTGCGGCCCAGGGCCAATGTGGAGCCCCCTCTCTGTGGGACAAGGTCAGAAAGTGGGGACAAAAATTGGGACAGGATGGGCTGGGAAGGTGGCTCAGTGGTAGAGTGCTTGCCTTGCATGCATGAGGCCCTAGGTTCGATTCCTCAGCACCACATAAGCAAAAAGAAAAAAAGCTGGAAGCATCTCTGTGGCTCAAGTGGTAGAGCACTAGCCTTAAGCTGAAGAGCTGAGGGACAGCACCCAGGCCAGACTTCAGGCCCCACGACTGGACCCCCCCAAAAAAAATCAGGACAGAAAATGCTATTTTTGGCCCTACTGCCAAGGCCAAGGGCCTAGGGCTCAAGGGCTGCATATGGCACTGGGGACACTCTCCACAAGACCCTCTGCGGAGGACAAGGCCCTCTGACCCCTCCTCCCACCGCTCTCCAAAATCAAGGGAAATAAATCATTTTGAGCAAGTCTGGGAGAAGGGACACGTGACTGGTAACCTAGACAACGCGGTGGCTCAGTGGTACTGCGTGTGTGCGCTCTCCAGGGTCTGAGGAAGGAAGCCGCTGGCTGATGGATCATTCCAATGTGTATTTATACTTCCTGCCTACAGGTCCAGGAGCAGCCATCCTCTTAATAAAAAAGACCTTTCTGCACCCTTGAGGTGTTCCCACACAATCAGTGCCTCACTAGCGGGGACTGCCACCTCTCCTAGCACACGCTGTATCATGTGGCTAAGCTGTTGTTCCTGTATCCCGTCAATTTTTCAGCCCAAACAGATGTCAGTTCTCACAGCCTGATGGGTGCAAACCTCTCAGTACAACAGGGAGAAAGTCTGTCCCCTACACACCCACAAGCCTCACAAACAGGGTGGCCAATCGAGGTAGGCTGCTTCATAAATCAGCTGTCAAAAACAGCCAACAGCAGGAAACTGGTAGCTCAGGCCTGTAATCCTAGCTACTCAGGAGGCTGAGACCTGAGAATTGCGAGTTCAAAGCCAACCCAAGCAGGTAAGTCCATGAGACTCTTATCTCCAATCAAACTACTCAGAAAACCAGAAGTGGCACTATGGCTCAAGTGGTAGAGATCTCGCCTTGCGCTGAAGAGCTCAGGGACAGTGCCCAGGCCCAGAGTTCAATGGTTTGCAAAGTGCTTTTACCCTTTTTTCCTCCATGCTCCCAGTAGCACTGCAAAGGAGGCAGCACAGGACTGTCACCTCATTTCCATAGTGGAACTCAAGCCAGTGCCAGTGGCTCATGTCTGTAATCCTAGCTAGTCAGGAGGCTGAGATCTAAGTATCTTGGTTTAAAGCCAGCCCAGTGCTGGCAGGGAAATCTGTGAGACTCTTATCTCCAATTACCCAGCAAAATGCCAGAAGCAAAATTGTAGCTCAAGTAAGTGGTAGAGGGCCAATCTTGAGCAAAAAAGCTAAGGGAGAATGTCCCGGCCCTGAGTTCAAGCCCCAGTACCAGTGCACATAGGCTACATGTGGGCACATACGTACACACACGTACATGTACACACACACACACACACACACACACACACACACACACACAGTGTGAGGCTCAGAGCTTGGTGAAGGGTTATGATCACCAGCAGGTCAATGGTAACGTGGGTCAGAACTTGCTGCCACTTTGACCAGTGTCACCACCTCCATACCCATGAGCAGATTGAAATTTTTGTTCATTCCAACCACATCAAGCCTACAGGGATTTAAGTGAGCTGGCCCGATGCTCCTAAAGCCTCCACAACCTGTGCAGTTCCAGGTAGAATCTTCTAGGTACCCAGGTACACAACAGGCCAGAAAAGAAGCGAACCCACAGCACAGCTTCTGGAGAAACGCTCTGCTGCAGTGATGAGCACAGGGCTCGTACCAGGGCTTGGCTGCCACAGCAGGAACCTGCGTCCTCAGTGCCCATCTGCTGCAGGTAGGAGGCAGGGCTGCACACGGGGGAAGGCGTAACTTACAGAGTAAGACGCACCAAGCTCTGGTGAATACGTGCATGTACACACACATATATAATACAAATACACAGCGAGCCACTGAGCAAGTCTTGATTGTTCCAAAAATTCACGCCCCTATTAAAGCGTGAACTTGTACAGCTAAGCAGATGGTCTGAAAGACACTAACGTGCCCCCATGCTCAGCCACGCTTGGTACCCACAAAACACGGGTAGTATATGCCAGCCCCAGCCGACAGGATGGACTTCCACCTTTAGCTAGACTCATCTAATTCTTTCTCTGGAACTGAAAGGACACGGGTTAAAGAAGAGGAGTGATAATGGACACTGGAGCACCACTCTGCTAGAAGACTCCAGAAATACACAGTCAAGCGGAATCCAGGAAGCACAAGACCCCAGGACAAGAAAGAAGAAGGTACTGCAGACTTCCATGGCCATACTTCCCATGCCCAGGCCACCGGAACTCCTCACTGCACCCTGCCAAGGAAACCCCTTCAGCTACAGGGTCTGCATGTCTGTTCATTGCACCTAAAAAGCTCAAGACCAAGTGGGACATAAGCTCTGAAGGCTTTCCATCTACAAGGGAGGTCAGCAGCGCCCCCAGCGTCACTGGCCTTCAAGGACCATACTGAGTGGGCACTTCATTGACTCTGGCTGGATTGAGAGCAAACCCACGTAGAGCGGTGCTGCAATGACTAGCCCAGCGAGCACACAACCCGAGGAAACGTTCCTCGTTCCTTATACAGGAGGGGAGGCTCAAGTTGCAATGGGTGGACACACTCATCCGCCCTCATCTTCTAAGCCCACTGCCAGGGAAGGGATCTATCAGCTACACAAGTACTGGGTTCTCAAGGTTTTGTGTTGCCAGTTACTTCCCTGCCCTCTCTGTGGCCCTTCCTTGGGGCAGGAAGAAGAGGAGGATGCTAGCTAACCATGCTATCATGCTCAGGGCTTTATGTATATTAACGCACTCAATTCACACAGCAACCCTGTAGCAACAAGATAATGGAGGCACAGGAAAGTCAGGGGGCGTCTGCAGAGTCCAGTGCTGGCCAGTGTTACCCCACAGATCAATCCCAGGTGGTCTGGTGGTGTTGGGACTCCAGTAAAAGCAGGCAGCTCTGCACCGAGCCACAGTAGTGCTCTGCAGAGGTTTGTTTGTGTGTCTAACGCCAAAGCAGACTGATACAGAGAACCAAGCAAGACATCACTGCTGTTAAAAAAAAAACAAAAACAAAAAGGCCTCAGGGTCCAAAGAAGGCTTCCTCTGGCACTACACCTCTACTGAGCTATAATCTATGTGCTTTGATTCCCTCCCTCCTTTCTGGGGTTTTATTTTATATTTTAAGACTAGGTATCCTAATGTAGCCTGGAGTGGCCTCCAAATTGCAACTGTAGCCCAGGCTGGCTTCTAACTCACCATTCTCCGGCCTCAACCTCCCAAGTGCTGGAATTACAGGCATGCCCTATCATGCCTAGCTGTGTTCCTTCATATCTTCTATATCTTTGTACATTCTCTGCCTCCCATTGACTGTCAAAGAGCTTCAAAGGCCAGCTCAGATGTCAGCTCCCCTCTAGCATTCTTAGCTTTCTTCACCTTCCCCCAGCAAGGTCCAATAGAAAAGGAACACACCCCCCCATGCCCCCACCCCCTTCTCAAGGCACTCCATCCATACTGCTATGACAGACCTTGTTATCCTCCATTATCCATTACCCAGCTCTCTTCCTCCCTGGCCCCTCCCCCGGAAAGGCCCAGCCCTGTGGTGTCAGGATCAAGCTTGGCATCTGGTGTGGTTAGGCACAGGAAGTAGATGTCTGCCACAGACCAGGACTAGCTCCCAGCGGTAGGCTGCTGGGCTGCCTACCGTTCCCTCCACATCCCATCACCTCCCAGCCACACGGCTCCTCCGTTTGTAATTGCGTTTGTCAGCCTCACACAGCACACGTCTTCCTGCAGGACCCCACCAGCACTCTGGAGTCTAGTTAAAAGAGAGAACATCTCTTCCACTTTATCCCTATGGAAACATGTCCAGATAATCAGTATTCCCAGCATAGAGGCCTCCTTGAAGCAAATCCTCCCTTCCAGCATGAGCTTGCTTAACTCTTCATTTTCACTTTAGAAAGGAAGTGGAAATTAGGTCGAAACAACTGAATAACATTGCAAAATTCTCAGGGTTATAAATAGCCATGTGCTCTAGCACTCAGCAGTACTGGAGTTCTCTAGCAGAGGGCCAGGAACGAGCTCTGCTTCCACATTCCGGCCCTGCCCCTTCCCAAGCCAGCAAGTCTCCCCCAGGCCGGGGCTCTCCCCTTTCCTCCCATCTTCCCTCTCTTATCTGTCTCTTTCCTCAGTCATGCAAGGCAACGCTCCCATGAGCTACTACACCCCCAGCCCCCTCCCACTCTCTGTACAGCCCAACAAACACAACAATAATCTGGAACATTCTAAAGGCCATGGAACAGGAGAGGCCCACATAGATCTGAAGGCACTCGGCTAAAGCGCAGCTCAGGAGTGACACCACGGAGGAACAAGAGAACAGAAGAGCTAGGCTTCCGTGGAGCATCTCTAAGAGTCTTCGAAGAGGTGTGATCATTAAAAACAAACAACGAGCCAGTGCCATGAGGAAAGCCCTCTGGAGGCC